AGGGTGTATAAAAAAAAGCGCAATCCTCGACTGAAATGTAAATTGCTAAACAAATAATAGACGAAAACGTTAAAGTTTACATTCATTTTAAAGCGTAGCCATTCAACTTTCTAACAGTGGGTTGTTTCTTAAATTTGACTCATTGGTTCGCGGCTAATAATACTTTACGTTATTGCGATTGGAGATTAAAAAAATTGAGATGGAATAACAAATCGTTCTCATGAAAATAACTGATTTTTTCATTGAAACAAAAAAATGTTGCATTTTATTAAATGGATTGTAACAATAACTATAATTACGGCTTTTCTTCCACTATTTTTAACTCAGTTTTAAACTTCAAATGCGATATAATTTTGGCTTGAACCATCTAGTAAGCTGACTGACATCAATTTGCTATAATTTCTGTTTACATTACATCGCAATTCGATGACACTCTGGCTCAGACACCAGAATGTTTTGACGATTTTTAGCATTCGTTCAGGATTTTCAAACAACCTGGTCTCTTTTAAAATACTTTTAATTTGTTCTTACGTGGTTTTCCAGATGTAGTGACGACAACATTAAAGTTTAAAGAAGAAAATTCTAACATTTAAACCGACTAAACAATAACATAGTAAACTTGCATAATTAAACAGCAACTGAAAATGATAGGTTTTACTAAATCTTTTCCTGTGCAATTATTACTAGCATTGGAGACAAGGATAATAGTTTGTTTGAAAGAGAAAAGAACAGGCTTTGAAGTAAGCCTAAAAGCGTTTAACTAGAAATAGTATTTCGAAAGTTATTAAGCACAAAAGATGAATTGCGTTTATTTTGATACACCCTGTATACTGAAGATTCCACCGTGGAAAAATAAATTTTATTGTATTGTATTGTATTGTATTGACCAGTTTTATTACGAACCTCCATGTTCAAATACTTCATGTATATCTACTATATAGGCCTGATCATGAAGACGAATCAAACTTTAATACTGTGTACTGCATCTTCAAATCAAAGCATTTCCTTGTCAATTTTTCCTGGTCGGCCGTACACAGGAACAGTTTTCCTGGTTCAAAAGTTGGCATGACTAGCTTTTGAACCAGGCTACTTGTCAAGGAAAACTTGTCAATTTTTTGTCATACACACGAGCAAATAAAATTTGTCAAAAAAAATTGTCAAGGAAAAATTGCTCGTCTGCATGTGCGGGGCTTAACGCTAAGCATTATATATATTTCGTGACTGCGTCAAATGAAAATCCTTCGCAGCCTGACGCGAGTGCGAGGTCGAGTCGCCGTGGGTCCCTGTGGTTATTGTAATCGTTCTAAGCGCATAGAAGTCTATAATAGAACAGCTATGTATATGCGCTATTATATAGAGAATAATAGATGGGTGCGCGGAAATACGAGATTTATTTCGAGTGTTGAACATGATATCTCACGAGTGAGCGCAGCGAACGAGTGAGATATTATGTTCAGCACTCGAAATAAATCTGGTATTTCCAGCACCCATATATTTTTCTGTTTATTATATAAACAAAATTCAGTGAAAAACAATAAAACGTCCATGGCAATGCGTTTTACAACAAATGATATTTTCACACGTAAAAACATCGTATTTTTTACGTGTGTTTAAATACGATTTTTCTCAGTGGCCAAAAACTCTATATAACACTTATGTTTATATAATAAATATTGTTATTTATTATTATTATTATTATTATTATTATTATTATTTATTATTTATTATTATTATTATTATTGTGTGGCTGTTGCGGTTGCTGCACGTGGTGTTATCTTCTGTTACCTGTTGCTGTGGGTTGTTGCCATTGAACTGAATATAACTGGATCGGAACGCTATATACCTTCACTCTTCAGATAAAGTCGCCCATGTTTGCCTGAAGACAAATCTGACCGCCAGACACACGTGTCTATGTCCAGCTCATGGAACGAGCACGAATTACTCGCTAAACTTTTGAAATAGCAATTATATCATAGCAGTAAAATTACTGTATGTCTTAGTACAGATCATCACTCATCAGTTTACTCAGCTTGATAGAGTAGATCAGTGTGGAAAACATGAAAATAATAATCACAAAAAATGTTACCGAAATTTGTCGCAGTAAATTGTTCTTTCAATGGACAATATATTATTTTATTAATTAGAAAAAGTAAGAAAAAGCTAACAGTAAAGTCTACCAGGTAGTTTTACTTGACTAAATGGATTATTAAAAGGCTTTGAGCCCTGTAATTGTAGTGTTACGTCACTTCCGGTAAGCCTAGTGGGAGGCATTAGCTAGGCGAGCGAGAGCGGGGAAGTAACACATATTGTAGAAGCGAATTTGAGCTATTAAAACTAGTAAAACCTAAGACACAACATTGGCGACGAGGATGGCGACGATGCCTATAGTAAATCCAATGCCTCCATTTGATCCTGACTCGGACATTGGAGCAAATATTGGCCCCAATTAAGTGGAAAATATGGATGGAAGACTTTGAGATGTACATTACCGCGAACGGCATTACAGACAAAGCCAAGAAGCGAGCGCTGCTTTTATACCAGGCAGGCGCCCGAGTTCGCGAAATTTTTCGGCAAATCCCTGATAATGGAGATGACAAAGACTACGACAAGGCGGTTGAGAAACTAAACGAATACTTTGAACCACAAAAACATCGATTGTACGAGGTGTACAAATTTCGCGAGGCACGACAAGACGTCAGCGAAACTTTAGACCAATATTATACGCGATTGCGGAGTTTATCTACCCGATGCGAGTTTGCTGATCCAGATTTTGAAATAATGGTTCAAATTGTCTTATGTGGTCGCTCCAGTCGACTCCGAAAGCAAGCCGTGATCCCAAGTTGACATTGAAAGACCTACTAGTTTTGGGCCGCCAATGTGAACGAAGTCGTCAACAAGCTGCAGAGATCGAGGAAAATACAAGAAACAATCAAACCGGTATGAACGATGATGCTGTTGTGGATGCTGTTCGCAATACCCCTGCTGAAAAGACATCGCAAAAAGGGGTTTGCAGGAATTGTGGCGCGGAATGGCCACACAACACGGGAATATGTCCAGCAAAGGGCAAAGAATGCCGAAAATGTTCCAAACTGAACCATTTTGCGAGAGTGTGTCGATCTGCGCCTGCGATGGCGCGAGGTCAGCGGCAAGACCGTGGACGATGGCAAGGACGTCATGAAAACAAACCTATTCGGCCACTTAATGTCTCGGACAATGACAATGAATCAAGTGACTCAGACAATTATTGTTATTCAGTTAACAATACAAAGGCGCAAAACCCCTACACAAAGTTGAAGATTAACAATCGCAACGTAAAGTTTACAGTTGACACTGGATCCAGTATCAACATAATAGATCAACAAACCTTTGAGCAATTGGGACATTATACATTGTCCAAAACAAACATCAAAGCTTATGCATTTAATTCAAACGTCCCTGTTAAAATGAATGGGAAATTTACCACCATTGTGGAATCACGGCGCAAGATTACGGTGACAACTATTTATGTTACAAAAGCAAACGGTGGTTGTCTTTTGAGTGGGTCAACTGCAGAAGAGTTGGGACTAATCAGTTTGCATTTGAATGCAGTACAAATAACAAAATCATCCCAAACACCACCAACGTTTACATCTATCAAAGATAAGGGAGTACAACGTGTTGTCCAGAAGTATCCAAATGTTTTTTGTGGTCTCGGCAAATTACGACATCAAACAGTCGAACTGCTTGTTGACAAAGATGTAAAACCAGTCACTCAGCGCCAACGTCGCATTCCATTCCACCTGAGAGCTAAAGTCGATGCGGAGTTAAGTCGGTTACAGGATGAGGACATCATTGAACGCGTACCAGATACCGAAGCAACCGAATGGGTGTCTCCAATCGTCATCGTGCCAAAAAAAGACGACAATATTCGCCTATGCATTGACATGCGCGCGGCAAACACTGCTATTAAACGAATTCGACACCCCATACCAACGGTGCATGACATTTCGCATGAATTAAATGGGGCTAAATTCTTCACAAAATTAGACCTTACACAGGCATATCACCAATTTGAGTTAGCCCCTGAAAGCCGTCAAATCACAACATTCATCACACACGCAGGATTGTTTCGTTTTAAGCGTTTAAACTATGGCACAAATTCGGCCGCAGAAATCT